CTAGCCGTACTTAAGTACGGCTAGCCACTGCCTTTACTTTTACTTTTGTGTTTTAACATCATTTTTCAACTTTGTTTTGGTCAACTTGATCGTCCACACCGATAGACAGTATTCAGAAAGAGACAGAGAGAGAGAGAAGAGAGGAGGAGTTGATCTTGCGAGAACTTCCGGGCGGGTGAGAATAGCCACTTTCCTCTATCATCTTTCTCTCGTTCCCTCCTGCCAACTGGGGCATGTCATATATACATTTTGCTAGCACCTCTCTCTCTCTCTCTCACACACACTACCAGGTCTGGGCGCTGAAACTTTCCGAAATCACAAAAGAGTTCCCCTACCGGGTCTACTTTGTGACTTTGTTCCCGGTTAAAACGTTAGCTTTAAAGGCCTCGGGCTTAAATGGCTTAAAGGGTAGATTCTAGATCTATTTGTCAATTGGTCCCGTTCACTGATTTTAATAGATTCGTTAAACCTTGGGAATTCGTACTCGTCTGAACCACTACCTGGTCCACCCAACAAAGAAAAGGAAAAGAAAGTACTCTCACAGCATTTCACCACAACGTCAAGACTCAAAACACAAACAATATGGCTTGGCTTGGTGGGCTTACCTGAAGTAGAGGTTATACTACTCTACAAGACTACCAAGATAACTTCTAAAAGAGTCTAATTTAAATATTTGTTAAAAGAAGAATTCTAACATAGTGTGAACAAAACAATACAGAAACATACTTTATAGCTACAAATTGAATATATTTTCTTTTTTAAATCCACATAGTTATTTCTTTATACAGGACAGTGCGAAGAAAATGTAGCAAACGACAAGTAGTTTTGGCATTTAGACATTTTAGTCGTACACCGGAACTTCATGCTGTTGCAAATTTTTGTACTGCAAGATCTAGAATCTAGATCTAGATGCTATTTTCGTGAATTAAGATCTCTATCTTCCCGTATGACGAAGTCACGACTGACGAAGTCTGCTAGCCTGCTTTCGCCACTTTCCTGAAGTAAACGCCTATTGAGTCATAAGTCAACGTCTCCTTCTCAAAGGTAGCAAGTAAGTACGACATTGCCTTTTTCTTTGTTGTTTAGGAGGGTCTACTTGATGAAATATATGGTTAAAAACAAAACAAAGAATTACTTAGAATTGTCTGGGGTGGAGATGATCCAGTAGACTTCATAAAGTCTAAATCTCCGTTTTTTGTTTGTTTTTGTTTTTTGTTTTTGCTTTGGCTACATTCACAGAACACAGGAATATCAACGTCGACGATAGTAAGTGTATGGGTTAAGATAGGAGTCTTTGGGGCCAAAACCAGATTATATCCCATTTATATATTCCATTCACTTCAGTACCTTTCTTTAAATAGGCTAATTAAGAGTAATTAACAAAACGGGTTTGACTTGCGAGGCATAATTATAGATCTAGATCTAATCTAATCTATTTCATGTGGTCATGTCAGTGGTGAAATCAGGCGTTCGTCAACATCATTGAAATCTAAGAAACCAGTATTTTTTCAGTGTGTTTTACTGAAAAACATTGATCGTAGATCTATAATGGAAGTAGTATTGGTTGGAAATTCCGACTTGGGACATTCTCAAGACCTAGGCCCTAAATCATAATCATTTTCGCTTTTATTTTTGTTTCAACTCAGAATTCTCCGATGATGGCCTGACTGATAGCTGTTTAGTTTAAATTGCGACGCACAAATGATCAATATTATTCGTAGTTCTGCTATTACTTTCAAAACAAGCTTTATCCGAGTTCTGGTTAGCAGGGCTCGTCATCAAGACCCGTCAGTAAAGCTCTTTCAATCGCGCTTTCGCACCACATGACATGTCTCCGACCAAAGTGAGTTCCGCTTGTGTCGTGGACCGTCCGTTTACGGGGTCAATTTAAGTTCATGCACACCGGCTGAGGCGTCTTTCGGGACTTATCGGGGGGGCGCGGTAAAACACTTAAACTAGGACAGCTTGACGTGATACTTCAAGATTTAAAAAAAATAATGGTAAAACACACACAGGCACGGATACGCACACGCACACACTCACCCCCCCCCCCCCCCACACACACACACACGCACACACACACATACACATCCCTGGAAATTGTTTAAGTCAGTTTGGCAGTGATCTTGGAGATTTGCGTTGATCCCGATTTTTTCCCCCCACTGAGATCCATTTACAATTCTACTGAGCACTAACACGAGAAATGTCCCCCCTTTGGGAATGACCTAAAGACACTTCAGTCAGTGGCACTGCCCCCGGGGGGGGGGGGGGGGGGTGATCCTGACTTTTAGATTTCATTGATTGGCAGGTCTGATTTTCTTTGTGCATTTCAGTTGGAATTGACCCCTTTTGGTTTGTCAAATTTATTTTATTTTTGATTGGCTCAACCACCACCACCCTTCCCCCCTCCAAATGGACACAACTCTTAGTGTAGTCAATATTATTCATTTATTTCTTGCTGTTACTAAGAAACCTTAAGTTAATTAAAAAATTGTTAGCATTCAATCATAGTAATGGTCACTATATGTGTTTCTTAGTTTAGTTTAGTACAGGGTTTTACGGCGCTCGCAACTGCATAAGGTCATATGAGCGCGCGAAACACAAGTTGGTAGCATTCGCAACAGTTCACTGCACGGTTGGTCGACAATTAGATTTTAAAATGCTAAAATACTCAAATTCAGTGTAAATATATTCGCGATTTAAAACAAGTCTTATAAATAACATTAAAAATTTTGTGTCTGTGTATATGTGCGTGCGTGTGAGTTAAATGTTTACATGCAAAAATTCTTACTATAAAATTAGGAAATAATTGACTTTTACCCTTTAAGTTTCTAAAACAAGGGTTTAAATACCCCTTAAGATAGAAAACCAAAGGGTGAAAGAACTTCTTAAGTTTGTCTGAAAAGGGGAGCCCTGAGACTTTAGATAAAACTTTAGGTGGTGCCCTCTAGCGAGAGGGGATCGGGTCGGGTCGTCCGGTCGGTTCTTTTTCTGGTGGTTTAAGTGCACACTACAACCCCTGCGATTGTACTGGATGACCTAGAAGTTAAAAGTAGAGAAATCTTTAACCTCAATGGCTTCCTGGGCTCCTTTCCGCAGTTCCCTGTTGCAGTGCTGCTGCAGCCTGGGATCCCATAAACATGGTTATAATAGTTACATCGATTACTTTCTATTGTGCCCCGATGGCCGCTTTGCACTCTCAATTTAGCTAGCCCCGACAGCCTGATCGAACCGACCCGACCCGTTCGCGTACGTGGGCACCCCCTATTAGAAGAAGCCACCAAACTATGGTGGCCATTTTCTAACTAGTTATACCTTTGAAACTAGGTGACTCCTCCTCCTTCAAACGCAAATATCTCGACTTCTATTACAGATTGATCAGGGTTTTTTTTCATCGAAAGCAAGGAAAATGAACAAGCTTTAATGATCCAAGCCGAAAAATTTATGAGCGCCTGATTCCACCACCTTGTGACACAGTTGAGCATGGATATCTCAAACATGTTTGGGTTTTGACCATATTCGACATTTCTATCATACGAGCTGTTATGCGAGTAAACCATGATATCAAAAAATAAGAGAAACATTCTGAAGAAAATCAAAGCAAGTAACTGACGGCTTAATGGTCATAGGGCAAAATAAATTACATCACTGCCTGGTACCTGTTATGAAAGTAAAAGGATACAAGGACGGATTGTGTGTTGCTCCTTTTTCCGGTGATGAGCTTTACGACTAAAGAAAGGTTTTTTAAAAAATGCTTTGACGTCATATCCAGATCACAATGATGTAACCTTAACCAGCACTAGTAAAAAATACACCAATCACCCATCTCGTGTGTTATCAATCCATACCTGATACCTTTGCATTCAAGCAAAGCACATAAATGCACACAGTTTCACATGACATGAACAGATTCAAGAAAAGTCTATTGCTTTGTGAACACTTCAAATGCAATTATGCATCTCGATACCAGCAGTCCATGCTATCGTGCCGTGCAGGGGTGAGCCTGATGTGCTTGTAACCTGATACTTTTAATGATGATGGGTGTATTTATTTTCCCTTATAAATGTGTACAGGGCCATTTAAATCCAAGACAGCTATACAGAGGAAAAATTTGATTAAACAGTTTGAAACAAGCTTTTAAAAACATCCATGTGGATGTTCGCGAAAACAGTGTTGCCAATGTGAGGAAAATAAAGCAGTAATTAATAATCAGAGAATGGCACATGTGTAACGACGTGGTGGAATCAGGCGCTTGTCAACTTTGGGGCATTTAGAGCTATTGGTATCGTCTTAAAGCTTGTTTATTTGTTTATCTATTTATGAAAAAAGTATGAATCTATCTTGAACAAAGAGGTAAAGTTAGTGAGAAAATGGCCACAAAATTTTGGTGACTTCTACGGCTTGAGAGTCCTGAGCAACTGAAAATTTACAGTTTTTGTGCCTTTATCATCATGTTTCAGTAAAATCCTCACAAGATTGTATTTTAAATGGACATTAAAGCCAGAAAACAAAAATTTGATAAAAATTGCCCAACTGAGGGAAAAATGCCGATATCTCCTATTTAATTATTTTGACGAGGGCCTGATTTCACTACGATGCCTCACTTATTGTTCAAGCTATCCATGTTCTAGTTATAATAACGGGTGGGTAGTTGGTTGATCATTAATTTCAGGAACTTGAAAGTGTGAGTGATTGCATATATATTTATAACCTAATAATGCACAGTATAAAGATACGCTGCCTTCAAAATATCTTTGATCAATCTTTGCTAAATAAGAACATAAAGGGACCGGGAATATTCAGAAAAGAGCTGGAATTCTATAATACTCTTCTTTTTAAAAGACATCTTCTACATGTGCTAATAAACTTAGAGATAAATATTGAGAAAAGCAGCATTGAATAGATTAAAGCAGACTCACAACAATAGGTCTTGTTTGTAAGACTATTCAAGGATTTTCTTCCCTATCAAGACAGCACCACTTTCTGGTGGCACTCAACTTTTCTTTCAAGGCCGCCTAAACAGCAAGCACTTGTGTAGCAAGTTTACTCTCATGCTCAACAACAGACCTTTTTTTTTATAAATTCTATGTAGGCTTTCTGAAGCATGATTCCAGACATATTTTCTAGTAATTTACCCCCAGCCTTCAAACACCCCCCCCCCCCCCCTCCATCTATTTTCCTAGCTTTTTTAAAAAACAAAGTAGATTCTCCTGAAAATTCTTCCACTGTTCCAATAATTTTTTTATACATTAACCAGAATACTTTTTGCTGTACAGCTGTACCTGTCAGCTCCTGGTACCTACTTACTAGGGGTACACAGTATAAGCAGACTTATTCAATTTTGCTGATATATTGTTTATTTCGTAGATAGATTGTTGTCTGGTCAGCACTCAGTGTTTCTAAATATGTGCAAGTGAACACGCTGGTTCATCAAATGATGCTGGATGTTGTTTTTTGAAAATCTTCTTTGGTTTTGTGAAAAAAGAATGACTGCCCTGTTGACTAGATTCTGGAGTCCTACCTGCTGCTTACAGTGGAGATCAAAAGATTTGTTTTTTTAAATATTTTACTTTTTAAGAAAGTATTAAAATTACTATCAAGATCATGATATG